AAAAAAGTAGACGTTAAATAAACGTTTGTAAAGATGTTTCTGTCGTTTCAGCTCGTTCTCATCTCTCTGATGTTTGTTCAAGTGTTTCTCATCAGTTTGGTTTAATTAGTTATTGATGATATAAAAACAGGCGGAGTCGTAATGATTGACAGCTGACACTGGCTCCTGATTGGTCGAGCAGAGGCTCCACTCCACGATCACAATTATATAGACTCAGACTCCAAATGACGTCATCACCACAAGATGGCAGCGTTCGTTGAGTGTGTAGATGTGTGTATGATGCTGTGTTAAGATTGTGTGTGTGTGTATTGCGTCCTGTCAGAGTGCGTTTGCTCTGAGTTTGTGTCGCACTGAATGAGATTTAAACATCCACAGTTTATTTGATTAACGTCCTGGCAGCCAGCCCGTGTGTGTGTGTTTTATATGGCTCATTAGTCCAGTGTATGTGTGTGTGTGAGAGTGTGTGTGTCTGTGTGTGTGTGTGTGTGTGAGAGTGTGTGTGTGTGTGTGTGTGTCGTTGAACTCGCAGCTTCGACTGCGACGAGCAGCTCAGCTGTCACAGATTCTGTCGGACACTCTGAAGTGATCAGTTCGATCAATCATCAGTAAAATACGTTTTTCCTTCTGTCCTCTCTTTCGTCTTCGTCTTCTACGCTCTGTACGCTCCTCTTCTTCATCCTGAGACATTTGCGTTGTTCAGTTTCACGTCCGTCACGAGTTAGAAACCTCATCAACACGTCCACTCGCTCACTGGGAAGGTTCCAGATGTTTTCCTGCTGTTTTCTCTCGTGGACTCACTCTGACATTTTACAGATGTTTTACTAGAGGCCGCAGGAGAAGATCCAGAGACAGACCGTGTTGTCGATGGTTCGATCCCAGGTTTCCAAATCTGCATGCCGAAGTGTCCTAGGGCAAGATAGTGTACCTCAAATTGCCCCTCGTAGAAGTCCTGCCCATAGATGAATGTGTATGATTCCCCCCCCATAAAAAACTTTACTGTTAAGTGGTCATCAAGACTAGAAAAGATAATTCACCATTCAGAGTGAGACAGGAACAGATTATAAAACATTGATTATGAACTGGTTATAAATAAAGTTTGATCAAAGTACTGGACAAACACCAGGTGATCAGCTGATCCTCCTTTAATTAATTAAAGATGAACCTTGAACCTTTATTGCAGTATTTATCCAGTGGAATATTCTGTGTGGACATGAACTGTGCCACGGCTGTGCTGTGTTGTTTTGCTCAGTAATTGTTTGCAGAGAGAAACACACGACTCCCGCTGACCTTTAATTTCAGCTTTTGCGATGCAAACGTGTGGCCGCGGCCCTCGTTTGCCTCGCCGTGCTCTCTGTGTGTGTGTTTTATTTTCAACCTCTCTGGCTGTTGGCGTGTGATTTACACTCCGGGCATGTTTGAGCGAGCCGTGTGCCATCGATACTGTTTTTATTACACCTTGTGCCAAGTGCTAACAGCCGGATACGAGCTACGACGACGAGTGGATGCAGCCGCAATTAGCATAATTGAAATAATAATAATGCTAACGAGCTTTCTGAGTGGAGGCAGAGCAGAGAGCGGAGTAGAGGATGAGTGGCGGCGGCGTTGGCTTCATCACAGTAGCGATCGGCTGCAGAGCATTGTGTGTAATTGGGATAATGGGCTGGTTTAATGGTGGAAGTGATGCTTTTGGTGGCGTTCAGGGTGGAACAGGTGCCAAATTCACTGTTTAGCAGTTAGTTTAATTTTTTTGGGCAAATTCAAAAATTACATTTGTGTCAGTTCTTTGTCTTCAACATGTTTTTTAAGTTTTGTAAGTAGAGTTTGAGATAACATTGATATTCAAGATCTACGTTCATCAGCTTTTCAATAATTCAGCCATTTGAACTCAGGTTTATTTTACTTCATTGACAAATCTCCAGACTGTTAATCCTTTAAAATCTATTTTAATAAACAGGCTCAAAGGACCTGTTTATATCTATAGTTGTTCTTTATATTTTCAATCTTTAGTTTTAATCAAGTTAACATTTCATTTAGTTGCCTGTTGGTGGCGTCATATCCTCTTGGTGCATGTGTCAGTGTTTTTATCCAGTTTGAAGTCACATTTTTATGATGCACTTTTTAGATCCTGGTGGTTTTTATCTCTGTATTTGAAGCAGATGTAGGATTTTAGTCGTCAAACTTCTGGATCTGAAGTTTTCAGAGAAACGAGCTGAGCCTCCATCAACCTGTTGATTCTCAGTGTTCATCCACCTCAGTTTTCAGACCTGAACTGAAGTCCTGACATGTTCCTGACACGCTCCTGACACGCTCCTGACATGCTCCTCACATGTTCCTCACATGCTCCTGACATGTTTCTCACATGTTCTGGAGGTTCTGTATGTGAGGACAAATGTCTGAGTCATTGTCTCTGGACATTTTCTGGATCTTTTCCTGCAGCTTCTAGTAAAATGTCGGAGTGAGTCCATGAGAGAAAACAGCAGGAAAGCTGGGTATTTTCTGAGTCTCTTCCTCTGGATGTAAATCAGATTTGTCAACGTGGATTAAAAACATATTGTAGTATTTTTCTCTGGTCGTGAACGTGTGATTTCTCTTCGATTTAGATTAGTTTCAACACCGCTGTTTTCTAACACTCAGCGGCGTTTGTTCCCACCGAGCCTCTAACCCGACCGACACACCTGAGCTGTCCTCCCCCTCCTCTTCCTGGAGCTTCTCTGCAGACTCTCCACTCCGCCGCAGACCACTCCGGCGAGTCAGAAGAATCGCTTTCAACAAACTGGCCTACAAATGAGGCATTAAGCATTGGTAATGGGGGTGCAGAAAGGTCACGGCAGTATTAATCTGCCGTCTGGGGAAAACACCCCAGAGCCTGAAAACACAACGGCCGAGTCAGAGCAGGCGAGTTTCCAAAAACAAACCCTGAGCATGAATAAACATTTGTCTATGCCCCGGCGATCATATTGATCATAAAGCGTTTTAGGAAACAAAACGAGATTGATGTAAAAATATTCGGCTGCTGTTTTTGAGCGTTTCCCCCTCGGACTCTTTGAGGTTCTCTAGGCTGAGAGCGGAGGTCGCTTCCTGTAGGAACATCGATTTTATTTCTGGATCAACATGGATTTTTAACCACTTTTTAGTCAAATCAGCCTCAAACATTGTCTCAGTGATGTTTGTCTATTCTCATTTCATATAGTTATTAAATATTCTGCCAAAGCTCAGTCTGAGTCGATAACGTGGCTTTAAATCAAAGGACCTCTGACTGTGACATCATCAACATCATGGATCTTTTTCTGTCTCTGTTTTAAATTTAATTGGAACAAATATCCATTTAATTTCATTAACAGTTGCTTCTTTGCATAAAAGTCAAATTTGTATTAACTGTCTTTGTTTTCCGTCACATTTCCACAGTAAATGATCTGAATGATGACACTGTTGATTTATAATTTATGTATACAATAAACAATGGGCCTAACGTGGAGCCTTGGGGAACCCCTCAAGTATCTCGCTGTCATTTTGAAGGAAGCTTTCCTCTTTCTACCTTTCAGCCGATGCTGCAGTAATTTAGTTGGTGAAGTTTTGAGTCTGTTGAAGTCTCCTGTTTGTCTCATCTCTTGTTGTTTTTCAGCTTCATTATAAAACTCTCAGTTGGCCTTTAGTCCTGTTTGTTGTTTTCATTTCTGTCGAGTGAAACTCAACAGCAGCAGTTTGGGTTTTGCTGCCAGATCTCACATGATAATTGATTAGTGTTGATGTAAAAAAGTTAGTGCTGTTGATAAGGAAAATGAGAGAACCCACCGGCTGCACTAATAATGAGGCTTTACAATCACCACATGTGGACAGAAATTAATGAGGTCTCCAAAGAAGCTTCATTCCTCATCGAATTTACATGATAAAGAGTCAAACTTGACCCAGATCAGATTTTTATTTGAATAAAAACACGGCCTGATATCAACTCTATTTACCGTATTGGCTGGAATAAAGAAAACGACCTAGATTATAGAGTGACTGACCCCTGATTTTCCAACAGCTGCTGCTGAACAAAAAAAAACTTCCATCCTAGTCCTGTTGGAAAAGTTCAAAATGTCGTGAACACATGAAACATGATCCACAAATTTCCTAATGTGATTTCCAGAAAATGAAAAACTCTCCTATTTGAGTGTTAATGACATAAACAGTGACAGTTGTTAAATCCATGTAGAAAAACGACTCCAGGAGTTTTATCAAGGAGAAGAGAACCGGGGGGGGGGGTTCTCCTGGTGCATAGATTAATAAACTGCTGGTGATGTTAGTTAAGTGCATTAAGTGTTTGCACAGAGCTGTAGATGCAGTGAAACAGTCAAGAGCCAGCGTTGATGCACCGACCTCAAACAATCTTAATCCCCCTGAATCAACCAAGGGTCCGGGAATGAATCTTCTTTTTGATGCATCGTGATGCGGACGTGAACACAGACGGGACATAATTGATCCATGTTTTCCGCTATGTTCATCTTTTAGCGATGTCCCACTGCTGCGTAATTACACTCACAGCTACTTCAGGACAGACGCACATTTAACGTCAGGTCGTCTTTGACCGTGTCAGAGTTTCCTGTCTGCAGGTCTTAAATTAACGAGAGTCGTAGATATAAAATGTGAAACCCATCAACAAACAGAACCAGGAACCACATTCAACAACCGACTTCAGGTCTTTGCAGTTACACTCGTCTACAGTGTGAAGTTTTTGTTTGTTTGTTGTTGTAATGCTTGTTTCGACCACCAGGGGCTGAATCATCAGAACCACTGTTCTTATCTAAACAGAACGAAACGTGTTTTCTTCCCGATGGTTTATACATTTCTCTGTGAACTGTAGACACCAGATGAATTTAATGTGTGTGTTAGTTAAGAGCCGTCCCCGTCATGTTCTTTCAGACGCGTCAGGACAACTGGAGTTTGTTTTAGTTTTTGACTGAACTAACTTTTTTTTTCAGTTTTTATTTAATTTAAAAAATGTGTTTTTTGTGTTTCAGTGGAGTGGGTTTAGCTCGAGCTCACTTTGAGAAGCAGCCACCGTCCAACCTGAGGAAGTCCAACTTCTTCCACTTTGTGCTGGCGCTGTACGACCGACAGGGTCAGCCGGTCGAGATCGAGAGGACGTCCTATGTAGACTTTGTGGAGAAAGACAAGGTGAGGTCTTATTTCTTCAACTTTGTTCTTTCCTGATGAGATGTTCTCCGTCAAAAACCGAACAGAGTCAGAACAAACTACTGTGTTTGTTGTTCTGACTCTATCACACACACACACACACACACACACACACACACACCGTCCTGCAGCCTGTGAATCAACCCTGTTCTACTTCAGGTGACTTCTGTTCTGGACTACATCAGTTTTCACACAACCTGCAGTTTGAATGCTCTGACTCTGTCTGTGCCTGAGACAATTTTAGGATGTCGAAGAACAAGACGAGAGTGGTCCTGCTCATGACCTGAGCAGCGTCCTGTGTCTGCTGCTCTTCCTGTGTGAAGACATTTGGTCTCTTGGTTGTAGCTGTAAATTAGAAATACAGTTTCTACTGCAGGAGTGTCACCGCTCTACGTTCATGTGCAACATGAACATCTCTGAACTTTATGAATAAACCTCGTACATGGACCACATCATTTAGTAGGAACCAATGATCTCGGAGCTGAGACAGGAGGGAACGTGTTGAGGGACGGACTGACATACTGTTGGTTTTAAAGTCTCATATTTCAGTTGAACCATTAAAGAGTTTTTCTTGGATTGATAAT